AAAATCTGCTAGAGATGGAATCACACCATAATCTCATTCCAGGACTATACTTCTTTTTCACTGCATTCCTGTAGCTACAAAACACCTGGGATGAATCTCTCGCCAATTAAGATTTCAAAAGTCTCACACTGAGTAACCATACATTCCTCCAGAGAGGCATCACTAAGGGAATATTATTCTCCTTGAATTATTAAAGTCATCCAGCTTTGGCCTCATGCCTCACACTTACAAGATAGATGCATTTAAAAATCAACCTGAAGTAGACTGTCACCTGGAAACGATGAATTCTTGCTCAAGTGCACACAAATCACGAATCGTGAGGAAGAGGCTGATTTGGTTCAGTCAGTGAACATTAAGGTCATCGTGTTCAGCTGACTGCTTATTCTGCTGTACCACTTGGGTGCCTGCACCCATGATTTCTTGCACTTTGGCTGTCAAGATGCAAGGATGTGAGGTCTCAATTAGCTGCAGGTGCAATTTATGCACCGAGCTGAATGAAGTCTGGTTGCAAATGCCTGGATTCTAAACTGCTGTGAAAGGTCTAAGCAATATGAAAGGCAGCTAAAAAGGTAACTTCTATTTTTTCCAGTACTGCCAGGATCCAGTGATATATTTCATTGTGAACTTGGTTTCAAATTGCAATCTTTCTTCTGGTTCATTGCCTCTATGCATGACCCTTATTTCAATTATCTAATTTCCTCCCCAGATCAGAGCCCCAATTCTGGAGGAAGGGCCAGAAGCCTAGCAAAGAAACAACAACACTGTAACCCTGACCATGAGGATTTCCACCCAAGTCCATCTACATTAGACAAGAGACTACCCAAAGAATGCCTGAAGGAGTGGACAGGCATAAGGAACAAAATGTAGGCATGGTTTACAATTCCACTGTTAATCTTCAGTAATGTGCCACTTTGAATTCCCCTGGTAATTCCTTCAGTGGCAGTGTCTGTGGCAAAGTGGAGATCTGCACTGTAAGATTTAAGCAGGTGACTCAAAAAGTGTAGGAAGTCTGGGGCACTGGTTAGGAGGTCTCAGGGGCAACACCAGAATGGTCTGCACAGTAAGGTCAGGACAGATTTAAACTACTAATTTTAAGTCACTCATCAGCTTAAATCTGAAATGTATATGCAGTCACTGCCTTGGAGATAGCAGTTTTCTTTTTTGAAACTGGTAAGAAAAGAAGACCCTATGTTTGCACAGGTTGAGCTCTATAGGCTGACATGACCTTCCAGACATCTTTAAAACACATCACAAAGCAGACTGCTGCTGTGGTCTGTAAATGTGAAATCTACTGTAGCTGAGTGGTGGTTCTGCAGACTGTCCAGAAGTCAGGATCTCAAATCCTACCAACAGTCTGTCACAGATGGTATGGCAGAGGGGAAAAAAGGGATTCTGAAATGCTGAGAGAAAAAGTAGGCCATGTAGCTGCTGATCATGATATACTTGCCTGGATAGCAGAACTGTACATCTAACATATGCTGCAACTCAATATTCCCCAGCAAGTCAGAGGCCTGCACAAGTTAGTTATATTTGCCAAATGCTTTGTGGTTCCTTTTCCACTACTAACATGGGAAACTGTGTTAAGAGGAACACGGTCAGGATATCTCCCCAGAGATGCTGTAGATTCACACAGTATTGTATCCATGGAGGAGATGTGAACATACTACAAATATACACTAACATTACGCAAGGGAACAGATTCCACCTGTCCCATTTGTGTCAGCTGGTTTAGCTCATTTTACCTCAATCTCCTGTCTCTCTTGACCATAACCACATCCTCTAGATTTGACCAGTCACTAAAGAGGTGAAACAAATTCAGGCACACCCTCCTGGAGATGCCTCTTTACAAGAGGTACAGCTATATAACAGTCTACAACCATTTCAATAACGTCTCCTGGGCTTAAAATCAAACTGTATTAACTGCACAGTACAAACCTTAATTTGCAGCATCTTACAGAGAATTCTTTAAATTTAAGTTGCTACTCCTCATGTCCTTCTCTTCACATGTTTTACATGACCTACTGATGTTAATACCAGCTTCAAGTCACTCATGCCTGACTGTGACATCCATGTGTTTGGCCATTTGTCAGCATGTCTACATTGCTTCATGGAGCAGACACCCCCAAACTGCCCCCACAAAGGTTCACTAACAAACAAAAGGAGCATAGCTCAGTCATGATGCCAGGACAGCTCTGGTGCTTGGCAGGCAGCTGATCTTCCCTCCTGCCTGCAGATTCACATCCTTCCCTTCCTGCACACGGTACAGCCACTTCTCACAGCTCACTGACCTCAGCTGTGAAGTCAAATACTCTCATTCAGCTGAAAATTACACCATTTTTCAGGCTAATATTTCTGGTGCAATACAATAAAAATTTTTTTTGTGAAGTCCACTGCTAAATGGACAGATCCCAAAGCTTTACTTCACGTCAGCTGTCACAGTCACCTCCTCAGACTCAGAATCTACCAGGCATAAATGTAGGTGCTCTAAACCTGTGCAGGTAGCTCTAGGGCATTCCTAGTGCTGTTCAAGAGCACATTTTACTTTGTGCTGAACAAAAGGCCTTAGTTATTTTCTCTGTACGCGTTTAGGATATTTGACTGAGAGATATCTCAGTTCCTCCTCCTTCCCTTGATCACACTGGCTTTCCATTTAACATTACAACCCTACTGTAGAGAAGCAGCCAAGTAAAGAAAATAATACAAAATCCTAAAGTAACTCTACTTTGATTTGCCTGGTCACTGCATGCTTCCCAAGAATCTTGGCCAATATCTTGGCTTTCAAAACGTGTTCCAGTAACTCGCTATTTTAAGCTCTTAGGATACCAAAGACACACAATAATTCACTGGGCAGAAAACTTCCCACAGGCTTTTCAATATTGGAAATTCTCACATGCCAGATATGGTCCCTTTTGTGCTTTTTCAGCACGTACTGTTTGACCCAGACAGAGAGATCACAGCTAGAAAAGTCTTACCTCTGATGATCCCTTGGAAGCTATTGCTAGTTTGGGAGCCTTTATGGGTGAGGTTAGTTTGAACAAATCAAAAACTGTTCTACTCCATGTAAGTGGCCTATGGCAGTAGCACAAAAAGAGACAGTAGAAGTCCAGCCACAGGTCTCTTTGCCAGGCTGGCTCTACAGTTTAATCATCAATAATAAAGTTAACGGAAAGCCAAGTTCCATGGATCTCTAAGGAAGTAATATTTTAGAAAATCTGGACTGACAGGGAGTTGCTGAAGCTATTTGATTGCTTAAGAACTCTGTAGGATTGTTCCATATATCTGCTCTGTGGGCTGTCTGTATAACCAGGGTGTGAAATGCCTCTAATTCAGCAGTTCTACCTCAACAGCATTTTTCCCCCCAAGACACTATTGTATCAATCTATCCCTTTCTAGACAGGTGATAGAATCAAAGAATCATATAATCATCAAGGTTGGAGGAGACCTCTAAGATCACTGAGTCCAACCATTAACCTGACACTCTGCTCTAACCCCTAAACCATATCCTCCAGTGTCAGATCCAAATGCCTCTTGAACACTTCCAGGGAAGTTCCCACCTCCCTGGCTATACCAGTCCAGTGCCTGAACACCCTAACACGGAAAACATATTTCCTAACATCTAATCTGAATCTCTCCTGTCTCAGTTTATGGCCATTGCCTCTAGTGCTCTCCCTGCAGGCATGGCAAGAGAGATCAATATTTGAATCCAGGTCAGAATCCTGTATCCCTTTACACAAATAAGCTACGAAAGCACAATATTAAAGGAAATAGATGTGCTTCTGTGGCTCTACATAAGCTGTGCTTATTTTCATATCATTTCACTACACTGACATCTGCAAGCAGCTTTCAGCATCGAGATTGTGTCCCGCCCCATGAACTGCCCTCTTTTCATGGTAGGAGGGAAATAGCACACAAGTCTGTGATGAAAGAAGGTTTACTCCTATTCTAAGTATCATGTCAAAGGTGCATTTGCATTGTCCCATTTCCAGACTTTAGGAATATGTAAAACCATCACTGGACCAGAAGAACACTACTTTCAAAGCCCACTGTGCTCCATAGAAAGACCTCATGTCCTTGAAGTTACTCTAGATAAGACCCAGAAGAGCACATGAACCCCCTTGGTGGGGTAGGTGAAAAACATCCATAAAATGAACAGCCTGGGTTAATTTGCTATGGAAAAAAAATAAAAATTAGAGTAGTCTGAAGGTCAAATGGAATGAAAACATGTTTTTAATCTTCTTATCTACTTATAAATCAGTGATATTCTAGGTCCGCTAAAGCCATTTATTGAGATTTTCACATAGCAAGCTGGCATGTCTGTTATACAGTGACCTAAATTTACCTTCCGTAACTTTGTGAATTCCAAGAATGGCATTTTACATGTGGAGTCACCAGTTTTATTGAGATTTTCACATAGCAAGCTGACATGTCTGTTATACAATGACCTAAATTTACCTTCCATAACTTTGTGAATTCCAAGAATGGTATTTTACATATGGAGTCACCAGCATCTGGGCCTGCTCTACTGTAAACCACAGTACAACAAGTTTACAGGAAAATTCTGGTGGCTGAAAGGCATCTACCAACAGTTCTTTAATATTCCTATGCCATTTTCCTCCAACAGATCTCTACCTAATGTAAGACATAGGCAGATAACCCACTGAAGTCTCTGCTGAACGGAGGAAAGAGTTAAAACTCACTCTCATCTCAATTTCAGGATCAACTCCTTTCATCCTTTAGTATATACTGACTTAGTGTTTTTCGACAGTAAGAAGCCTAGGTCCTTCTTCCATACACACAGACAGAAAGGTGACGGTTCAGTGAGTGAAATGAAACACCCCTGTAGTCTGCTTGACCTATTCTGACCACAGCTAAGGAGCAGCATCTCGAGCTGGGTGAGTCAGCATTTTTTCCTTTACACACCAATATTTTTGCATCAACCTATTTTCTTAACCAGCAGAAAGTTTGCAATCTGGAGAAAGAAAACAAAACCCCAAACTTACCATCTGATTCAGAAGCTGCTCTGAAAATCAAGTAGCTGCTGGGAAGAGGCTGAGTGATCGAACCAACATTTTCTCCCTTTGGTCCCTGCAAATGCACGTGGAGACAAAGATGTAAGGCAGAGAAGCTGCAATGGACTTTCTACCCTTCCCAGACATATGAAAGAAGAAGATGGAGCAATTTAGAGACACTTTTTAGTAATCACAACATTGCTGCTGCAGCTCCAAGGCAACAAGCTCCTATGTAATGGGGCTTGGTCTAAATTATGCTCAGCCCAAAACCTACGGTGTAGATTCAGATCTTCAGGAATGGAAGAATCTTATTGCTGTCACTTGGGGCAAAACCAGCCAAATATTTGCAGTTAGTCATCTTTGTGCAACACCTGAAGGCACCATGTGTATGTCTTAGGAGCTCCATGAGGTACATGTGGAGTCTGTCTGCAGCCTGACACACACTGAAACACCCTTCATGTGCCACCACAAAAGCAGCAGAGCCACACCTTGTGCTGTGAGTGCTTCAAGCAGGGAGGCAGCAGCAGCTTTTCTGGAAGGAAACAAAGGGGAAACTCCATTCTGAAAACCTTTCTGGGGGAAATGTGGGGACAGGGAAAACCACAGACTGAAGCCCAAAGGTCTCCCAGCATGGGCACATGCTGCAGGGTTGCAGTCCTTCATCTCTAAATCCAGAGCCTTATGCCACGGTGTCTGGGGTGAAGGCCATTTCAGGCTTTGTGTGTTTATGTTGGCTTTACTTCAGAAGCTCTGGCAAAAAACACAGTGTCTTGTAAACATCCTGCCACCATCTTTTCAGCATGACCCTCCAGAAAGTATTCCCAGGGAAGCTGAGTCCATCTTGGATTAGGCACTTCTTTAAGCAGAACCACAGGCTCCCACCTTGATCTCCTCCACATTTTCTCCTCTGTTGAACCCCAGAAGTTGCTAAGAAAAAGCAGTTCCTGTATGCAGTGAGCACACCTTCATACTCTTCTTGGTATGGACTTCATGCTTCAACCTGGCAGAAGTAAATAGGAGTCCCTTCTCCACTGCCTTTCCAAAGTGACCCAGCCTCTTTCAGTTCCTTCTCTTCTCACTGCCTTTCCAAAGTGACCCAGCCTCCTTCAGTTTCTTCTCTTCCTCACTTTGTAACAAACAACAAAGAAGCAGATCCTTTCTCAAATATGCAGACATTATGTCAGAAACAAAAGCAGAGCAGAAAACATGACCAATACTCGCATGATCACTGTGTCACCTACAGGGTGGAACAAGTGGTTTTTTCCAGGATGCTCCAATACAGTTCTCCTCATGGTTTTTTCCAGGATGCTCCAATACAGATCTCCTTGAGTCTCCAGAGAATACCACATAATGCTGAAAATCTGTAGGCAGATTTTTGCAGTTTGAGTATGACTCTCCTCCCTTACATAGGCCTTTATAGTATCCAATCCTGCTCCTTGAAAGAAGGACTTCTCCTTGGTATTAGTTTATATGTAGGGAACTGTGACTGCTACTGAAAACTGCTCCTGTATACAAGTGCCTCGTAGTTAAATGGTGGTTTTATTGGGATTTTTGTTTTTAAGTTACACTCAGAAAAACAAAGTTTGGAAAGAATGAAAAGTGTAAACATAGGACAAGCATCAAATTGTATCAGAGTGTATGCCACAAAGATGCAGTGCTAAATGAAAAGTGTAAACATAGGACAAGCACCAAATTGTATCAGAGTGTATGCCCCAAAGATGCAGTGCTGAGAAGACAGTCTCCAGTCTAGCTTCTTGCCTTCACATCTGTGGGGCCCTTCTGCTGCCAGGTGAAACTGGGATCATCATTACTCACTTTCATTTTTCCTTTCCCTCTCCCACAGGAGGTTCACAAAATTAGGACTGTTTAAAGGCTTAATAGTCAGGACTGGCAAAGGTGAGATTTGATTAGTAAACCAGAGCAGAGCAGCTTAAGACATTACTAGTGACATTAATGCAATCAGGCATCATTCCCCATGGCATTTTTCCTTTCAGTAGCTTGCAGCTGAGCAGGGTGTTCCAGAACTGTTGATAACACCATTACTTGTGCTTTTGGTGCAGAGGTTGATATTTGCTCTGTTTGAGGAAAAAACCCACAACCAAACAGTACAGAAAAACAGTATTTTAAAAAAGAGGGAGATGGGAAGGGGGGACTAACACAAGGTTTTAACAGGCATTTAGGCATGTGGATAAACTCAAGGAGCAGCCAGGTCACCCTGTCAAGGAAGCATATTCAATAGTAAAGCATGCTCATATATGGAGGGGGCTATTTCCCACAGAAAGAAAAGAGAGTAGGCCACAAAAATAAAGTCAGCATCTGCACAGAGCAAATGATGTTCTGTATCTGCACAGCAGAGATAATGATGCTTTCTGTCTCCCAGCCTTTGAGCATCAGGCCTCTTTAGAGTCCAAGACCTCTAAAACAATGACTATCTCTCCCTAAAAGTGAGTGTTATCCCTGCTGCACCAGGACCCAGAGCTCAACTACAGCCTCTATGCAGTACAACTAAGAAAAGATCATCTTCAGATCATTAGTGTCTTTACATTTGATTTGAGACTCAAGAGGCATTATCAAACAGGGGGTGATTAGGCTTTGAAAAATGGAGTGGACTGGCAGCTTTATAGTATGACAGGACATCTTGGAGAGTCATAAAACAAAGTTTAAAAAAGGAGAAAAATATCTCACGAACAGTATTGTGGATAACTGTAAGAATGAAGATGAAACTAACTGTGTTGTATTTTGGAATGGAATAAACAGTTGTAAAAGCAGGAGCACAAGCACATTATTTGGACTTTTTTCTTTAAAAAAATGATTCAAAGTTCTTGATATCAACAAAACTAAAATTATATATATTCCCAGATGTAGTGGGTCTGACCTCAAATTACTTAGCACTCTAAACAAATGCCAGAACAAGTTGCAGATAATAAAAGCCTTCCCACCCCACATTGTTCAGCTCAAAGGGAAGTATGACCTATTCCAGGACATTTTTGGGGACAACCAGGCAAACACTGCCAGCTGATTGCCCTACACTCCCTCTGTGAAGCAAGAGGACAGACACCAACACTCTCACACTAATCACTAGGTTGGCATTCCCCAGTCTCCTCGGCAAATCGCCTCTTCCCTGGAGCAGTGTGGGATCACACTGCCTTCACACAGTTGACAAAATGCCTCTGCAGCAGGATTTGAAGTGTGCAGGGGAAGTTTTTTCTTACTGCTGCTTTTGCTGCTGGCTGATTTTGAGACCTTGGCTGTTTTGGCCTTGGGTTTACAAAGGCTTGGGCAGAGCAAATAAGTAAAAGGTCTAATCCATTTGCACTGCAAAGGAGTTTCAAGCTAAAACTCTCAAAAAGCCATGGCAGCAGTGTAGAATAAAGGACTCTTCCCCTCAGCAACATACTTCTAAGATAGCTCTAAACCCTAGAGAGCTTTACAGGAAAAACAGTACCCTGGTTCATGTATTTAGCTTTCAACTACAAGCAATGGCCTTATATCTTACCTTCCTAGCACTTGAAAGGCACCCCAAACTTCAGCCCACTCGAACTGAAGTTAAATGCTTACACATCAAAGCCTATTGGCTAGCACTACCATAAATATCTATGGTAGTGAACTAGACATTTGTTCCAGGGCTGAATCCTGCAGTGAGACCCAGACCACTGCTGGGCAGCCAGGCCAACACATACAAAGGTGTTTATTAATTACCCTGAGTTAGCTGCAAGTCCACTGATGCAAGTTAAAGCTGGATCATCAACTCCAGCCTAGATAATCCCTGGAAAATTCACAAGCCATTGTAGCCAAAAGGGAAAGTTGTTTTGCCAGATATTATTTCTGTTGTGATGGACAGTAACTTGGGCTCTTTGCTTAAACTCAGGTTAATCTACATTTCATGAGAAACAGACTTTCTTTGCATGGTTATACATGGACAGTAACTTGGGCTCTTTGCTTAAGCTCAGGCTCAGGCATGAGAAACAGACTTTCTTTGCATAGTTATACGCAACCAATTTAGATCAGTCAATTCTGCTCCAGTTGCTCTAAAAGGAGGCCACAAAATGACATAAAATGAAACAGTATTTTTAGCAGTTTCACCCTTAAACTGTTGTCAGCGTGCAGACAGCTTCTTTGACATCAAGCAGTTCACTGGTGGATTTATTCTTGACACGTATTTTGGTGTTTACCTTGCAGCTGAAAGTTTCCATCCCACACAACAATCCAGGCTGAATTCAGGTTTCAGGGAATATCCTACTATGCAGCTAAAACGTAGCTTTCTAAATATCTTTCCCCAGAGACTTAGAATACTACTTTGACTTTAAAATTCAAACCTCTTTGGACTTCCTCTAGTACACAAGCATTTTCAGAGATATATTCCATTCACATTTAATATACTAATTCCTATGTCTATCATATATTTTCTCAAGAGAGACAAGAATTAGATATACATACACATGTTCAAATACACATACATATTGATAAAAACTTCTCTTCAGACAAGAATTAGATATACATACACATGCTCAAACACACATACATATTGATAAAAACTTATCTTTATTTTGAATGTTTCATATCAAGGGAAGGGCATTCTAGGGCAACACTTCAGATCTGTCAGTGACTACTTTTCAGTACCTGACTGCACTTTTGATTCTATTTTTTCACTACCTCTCCTGACTGTGCTTCTCAGAAGAATTCAGTTGACCTGTCAAGTCACAAGGAATGTTTTGCTTACAGACAGTAAATGATCAACAGCCTTCTTGGGTGCATGCTCTGAATTAAAAAAGCATCAAAACTCTCAAAACTGACTCAGAAGCAAAGCAGCAATGAAACCCTCAGGACTTTAAGGTAAAGCAATGCATCCTGGCACAGATCAGAGCTGAGGTCTTACCCTGGTTGTTGAGGTTAATTTTAATTCTCCCCTCCTACCTTATTAAAAATTGAAAGACTGTTTATAGTGATTGTATAGCTGTGTTTAAAGCTCTTCAATTAACTGCACCGACGAGCAGAAGTGTGTCTGCTTGACCTGCTCCCACAGAGCTTCTTGGGTTTGTTAGAACTTCTGATGCCAGTGACAAGTGCCTTCAATGCTCTCACATGAGCCTTTCCAAGTACATTCACTCTGCTGACCACCTTGCAGCAAGGCACTAGCTTGTAAAGCCTTGTTTACATTCACAATGTCTCCTAGAGAATTCAAGGCTGCAATAACTCTGCCGAGTCACTGTTTGCAACAGGGAAACCAGAGTTCAAGAACACTTAAGTTTTGTCTTCAGGGTATCCAGCAGATGTGGCTCTCAGTGTGTCTCAGGAGGTACTGGAGTCTTCCCCTTTGATCAAAGGCATTAGATAGTTTTTTTCTTTCTTTGTTTTTTCCTTCTTAAAGGAAAGAAGAAAAAGCAGTGTCTCTTTAAAATTTGCAGGGAGTTACTTTAAGTGTGAGAAACTACTAATTATTTGTGTTACAGTGAGATCCACAGGTCACTGCAGGAGCTACTGTGTGTACAGGAAGAGATTGTCTCAGCCTGAAGAATTAGTGAAGTAGAGAAAACCTAGCTATTTCCATTTCAAAGAAGAGACAATAAAGGCAACCTATCCAAAGTCACACTTCTGTGTCACGGCTTGAGCAGACTGGCAACCTATCCAAAGTCACACTTCTGTGGAACAGTCAGGGCTTGAGCAGACTACTGGGTTCCAAGTCCACTGCAAACAAATCCGAACCTCAGAGGCATTAGGAAAAAAAAAGTCAAATTATCAACCTGGGATTTTTTTGGCACTTTGCCAACCTTCTTCCAGTGTTGTGCAAAGCATGTGGTGCTTTGTGTGTCCTTGTTTTGAGGAATTTAGTTAACTGGGTCTATTCCTCAACTCCTTTTGAAGATATAGGCCATGGCTTGATAGCTTTTAGGTATTGACCTCTTTTCCTGCACAAATAGGTTTCCCCTTTCCTCAGTGTCTGCTTGCATCTGTAGACCAAGAATGACACATTTGTGGAACCAGTCATAAAGGCTATGTTCCTCTGATGTCATACAATGATCAAACTTTGGTGTCTTTAATCTTTTTATGCAGTTAATTCACCATTGCTAACAGTAACTGAATAAATGCAAATTTCGATAAAATCAGTGCTAGATAATACTAGTGCTCAGAAACTTTGGTGACCAAGAAGAGGTTGTTCAACTCATCAAGATTGTTACCTTTACAGCCCAGATTGATTGATCCAAAGGATGAAAAAGTTTAAAGCAGAAGCCATCCTTTTTGGAGGGTCTCTCAATGAGCTCACAAGAATGGAGCAAGATTGTCCCAACCCACTGTCCGATCTTTGGCGTCTTATAAATCAGCAGCACTCCTGGTTTCAGGACACACCACAGTTTGGTCCAGCTCTTCAGCGTCCCACGAATCTGGAGGAAAGGAGGGAGAAAACAAAAAGTTATATTTATGTTGCTCCTTAAAAGAAAACCAGCATTTATTCAGTATTTATACAGCATTTCCAGTATATTTTTATTCCAAGGCTGCACCACAACACACTTCCTAAGGAAAATAAACTGCATTATCTGAACAGTTCTAAGGATCTCACAGCAAAATCCCACACCTTGTACATCTGGCTATCAGAATCTAGTCTTCATATTTTTACTATGGGCTTAGTGTTCTTCATATTTTTAATATTAGCTTAGTATTACCAGCTCAAGAAATTTTTTTAGGAAATCAGGACTGCTGGCTGAGCGATGTGAGAGTGATCAGTTGATAATCATGGAGGACATGCCAATTAGAATACTGCATATAAAAATGTTATAGCTAGTCTATCAAGACTTATAAGTCACTTTAATAGTGTTCTGCAGAACATAGCCACTAATGGGTTCTGTCAAATTTCCCATTTCTAAAAATACTGTCTCCAGCTGGTTTACCTCCCCATCAAGCTCAGTGCAGCTCTGTCTTGTATAGAAGACATTAAACCTGATAATAGCCTTAAGAATGGAGAAGTTTCTCAGTAAGATTATATTTTGCCTAAGGTCTTCTTGCCTTCAACGTACGTAGGTGAAACCTGAAGTCTTATGTCAGCGTTCTGGTTTTGTGGCTGACCAGAAAATTTCCAGTCACATCAAACATGCAGCAGGCATTTTGTATTTTAAAAAGTCTCAGTATTTATCTATCATTAACACTAAACACTATGGAAACACTCTGTTGCCAAACTGATTTATCAAATAAACCATATGCATGTCAGTTTTCTGGCCTCTAATACTGACTGTAGAGCAATGTTGGAGGTATTTCACACTAGTCAAATACTATTGTATTCTTTCATTCAATACTTAAGTTACTTCTTTTTTTAAGAGCTATGTGTTTGGCAATGTTTGGAAATTAAGTATTGCCAATATAAAAGGAGCAACCAATTCACTATTAGTTTAAGAGGCTAAATGGCCCCAAAGGAGGAGAAATACAGTGCTTAAAGGTAACATCTCTCAGTGTCAGTCCAAATTTACTTAGCCACAAAGTTTCAGGATTTCAATGAGAAGCTGTCACTGCTTGAGTCCATGCAGAAGGAGAAATTACAGGTCATGAGGTCCAGTATGTTTCATTCTGGGCTGTGACAATATAAAATCTAACTGTCAGTAGAACAAGCTGTATCTATCCATTTCCAGGCTCTTACTCTGTCTCTTCCCTCTTCAGTACAAAACCACTTCAATGGGAAGAGGCCAGCAGACTCTTTCAGAGAGGAAGAAAGAAAGAAACATCAAAACTTCCCTTTGTGCTATGCACTTCTTGAGACCTTGTTGCTGCATAAGGACATGGAATAGATGGACTGAGTTAGGTTAAAATGGAAGGTAAATATTCCCCAGTGTTCCACCTTTGTAGCAGTTATTTAAGTACAGCTTTACAGCAACTTCAACACAAAATTACTCAGTTGTCAACTCAAAAAAGTGCTAGTGCATAAGTCTCAGGCACATCAACTACTTCTCGCTTTCTTTTTCTCCTATAGCCTCAGAAGCAATGGTCTGTATTAAATACCTTCAGCCAGTCTGCTGTGATCACTACGCTGGGATCCTTCAGAGCACTGAAGAGCTGTTTGGTAGCTCTTTTCTTCTCCTGTCTGTAATTTTTTTTTTGTACCTGGTTGAGAACAGAGAAAATATAGCAGCTGTAATCATGGCCTGTTTGAGGGAAGAAAGAACATAATGCATTAAGGACAACTATGTATAGCACAGCTAGATCTTGACACAGCACAGGTTCCCCAGAAATGAGCACAAGGAAGAACAAAAACATAACAAGATAGCAGGCATTTTCTTTGCTCCTGAAGTCTCACTAAACGTAACCTAATTTGGCTTTATTCTGTGGGAATGAAAAGAGGCTGAACACCCAGTCCTCCTCACCCCTCGAATTCAACACATTAAATCCAATTTCATTCAAACCAAATTATTTATACTTTGGTTTGGTAGACAAGTAAGCATTGAAACTACAGTTTGCTCCAATTTCCTAGGCAAACCCATCCTAACAAGACCAATGACGGATTACAGTCCTCTTGAGGTGCCTAAAGGCTCTGGAACATGCAAACAGAGTGAAATAATTACACTGATCTGTTCTGCTTGCAGTATATAATCTAATCCTGTATATAAAGCCTGTAAATGCCCTTGGCCTATAATGACTCCTAGAAGAGCTGGAGGCTTCTCTGGGTCTTCCTGCCCATGGTGGGGGGGTTGGGACTAGATGATCTGTAAGGTCCATTTCAACCCCTAAAATTCTGTGATTATATGAAATGGCTCCAAGTAGTTCCCAATAATTTGTTTGAAAGGTACTACTTGTTTTGTAAAAGAAAGTCACCTCATGCTGACTTGGCTGCTTTGCACATACCTTCAGTGTTTCCTTCTTCATGAATTTGGCTGTGGGAGAGACACACTCTTTGTCAGACCCATTGCAAAGCTTATATTCGATCTAGAAGAGGGAGAGAGAAAACAGGGATGTGTTTACATGAAGATGTTCAAGCTATGCCCTGATAAAAGAGTTGTTTGTATTTTTCAGGAATCCATGCAGTAGCAGATTGAAGACTTCAGCAGAGGAACACTAGACAGTTGCAGAAAATGCATAACTGCAGTGCAGTCCAGACTTCCTTTTTATACTCATAATTGGTTGGAGAATTTCCCACCATATTTTTGTTGTGTTTCTCCCATGCAAACACTAATCTTGGTTTAAAAAACCCCACAACAAAACAAAACAGAAACCCAAAAATCCTTCTCTTATTCCTAAACTTAGAAAACTTCCCATCTCTTTTCAGATCTGAAAGCATTTCAGTTACTGGAATAAAAATTATGGGGACTCCATTATAGACCTTTCAGAACCAGATTTGATGTTGGCAATGACTATTGCCCTAGCTGAAACGTACAGAAACATGAGTGGGCAAGAAATGACCTAATCATATTAGAGATAATACAGGAAATCACCATCATCCTGGCTCTGCGAGGCGAGGCACAAAATATACAGTCACTTCAAATCATGTTTGATAGTGTCAGTGCTGTTTAAATTCACTTTCAGAGGCTACAGACTGATCTCATGGTTGTGCTGATGGGCTGAAAAAATCCTCTACTTTCATTAGACACAATGGCAACATTATTGTTACCAAAATAAAGTAGTCAGAAGATAACAGCTCTCTGCAAACCAGCTCACCACAAGGGCCCCCACTTGGATAGGTACTGTCAAATTGTCCAAAACCTGGGGAGGGTTTGTGGTGTGAGAATTACAGTACAGTCTGAACTCTGCTACTTTTTATGTGACCTTGGGGAAGTTACTTTCTCTCTCTGTACCTCTCTTCCTTCCAACCTTTCATGTGTCTGAGGCATTCAGACTGTGATCTTTTGGGGTCAGGCACCATCTCTCCCACTTATGTATGACAGTTTTATAGAAATGGTTCAGCCCTTGGCCACCTTGATTTAATGAGTATGACACAAAAATGAGCTGTACTAAGGAAAAAATGTAGCAAATGTACTTCCAGTTTATAAATTCACTGCTGTGATGTGAAACAAACCCAGTGGGCTCTCAGACTCTCTCTCCTTCATGTCATGAGTTGATGTAATCATTTTATAGTGCTTTCAGTTTTGAGAGACCCACTTTCTTTTTCCCTCCCAGTGACACAGAAACCTCTTGGGCTACTACAGCCACAAACTATGCTGACCATTAGTGTGAGCAGGAAAATATTTAATGACAGCCAGATCAGTCCTTTCCACAGGACTCAGAGAAAAACACACAAATGCATGACCAGATCACAGCAAGCAGTACATCAACTGTGCTTTGGAGACTGTGGCAGGAGCAAAAATTGGAGAAAAGGGTGCATGTTCAACTGAGCAAAACTCCTTGTAGATGATGCAGGATTAGAAATTAGAGCCAGAAGCTGCTATTTGCAACAGAGCCACAGTCACTGTAGAATGTATTACTTATTCTCACATACCCTTGTAGGAGTCTATCACTAAAAACAAAACTACATGTGATACCTAAGAATAGACAGCGAAATTAAAACTCTGTGATGGTGCACACAGACCAGTGAGGTCCCTGATCCAAGTTCACAAGTCAATTTGGATCTACTCAAAGAAAATGCCAGTTCTTGGACTCCTGAAAACTATTCAGTATTGGCCATTATTGTTTTCACAGGAAGCTAAGTTTGCCTCCTCTACCTGCAGTGCAGTCTCTGGTGAATATTTTTTATTTCTGCACATCAGTCTGGACTGTAGAAACACCAGGTTTATCGTGGGAACCACCACACAGATATGACATCTGAGTAGAGAATTGTGCCACTGGGTCTTTGTCACATTTCAAAGGGCAGTGGTAGACATCTGGGAGATATGCTATAAGCTTTTCTTTATGTAGAAACACTTCCAAGTGCTTAAATGTCTCGGAGCAAAAATCCTTCAGAATTATTAGGAGATTATGCTTTCATGATTCGAGACGCGTGTCCTCTGGAACCAGTCAGAAGAATTCTCCCCCTTTCTTCCAATTAGCAGGAAGAATGTCCTGTCCTTGAGACACAACTACAAGCCAAATGTTTATTAGTAATTTCACTCCCTCCAGCCTGAGAGATCAGACAGACAGAGAAACACTGTGTACTATTCATCATTAGCCAGTGTGAGAGGCAGAAAAAGCACAGATGCTCCCCAAGATTCTAGGAAATACTGCTCAGGTGCCTGCAAAGCATCAGGATACAAAGAATGCTTTTTGCTTAACTAGTTAAAATAAGCTACAGTCATTTGTTGTCTAGACCTTTGTACTTTTTAAAAGAATAAAATTCTGGCCCCTAAGCTCACTTGACTCAGGGAAATTTACTTGCAGATGAATTCAGAAAGGTTTCCAAGAACTGCTGCAAACGTGAGCCCTAAACCTGCTGCTCAAGGGGAACCAGCATTGACACAGACAGAGGCACTTTCAGTGCTCTGCCAGCCCCACCTGCCTCCTCCCTGGAGTCTCTCTGGGTCACGCTAAAATTAGAGTTTAACAACCACAAGACTTCAAAGCTGGGATGTTCACACAGACAGACATTGATTCTTCCTCTTCAGGAGAGCTGACTTGTAGCTCCATGACCAAGGACACCACGTGCCCAGTGCCAGTCGATACTGCTGTGCATGTTAGAAAACCACAGCACACAACGGCTGATGAAGGGATAATCTCCCCTTATGCCACCCCAGCCTTTAGGAGCTCAATAAACACAGTGAAACTTGTCAGACACTATTACAAACTGGCCCTTGGCTTGGTTAAAGCAGCTGCATGAACAGCCTTGGGGGCTGCTAGGCTCCGGAACCACTGTGCTGCTTCTTTCAGGCACTCCCTCCCCCATATCTGAGCTACAGCCAGACATGCTGAACCTGCAAACCTTGCCGGGAGAGGGAAACAGCCACAGGGATGGTGCACACTAAGGCAGGCTTAAGACTGGATGAGAAAGAAGCAGTAGTGTAGATCCCTTCACTGCCTGTCAAAGAATTTCTAGGCATGGAAAAATAACTCTCTGTGCTGCTATGTCCCCAAAGCTGTGATGTACCTGCCAGGTGTGTCACGAATACCACAGCTCCTTGAGGTGGTTGCAAAATGCTTTGTGAAGAGAGAGAAATTTTTGCTATAACCAAGCTACAGTTTTAAGTAGGAGCCACAGACAAGCTTTCAGATGTGCCTGACCTGAGGCTTTTGACGCTGTTCCCCAGTCACTTTTTAACAAGGCAAACTGATTGCTTCTCCCTCTCACCTTTGCCTCTTGTTATGCTTACGAGGATGCATCACCACAGATCCTAAACCGCAGTTTGCTGGCAGGTGATCTCCGGGTCTACAGAATGAAAAGCATTGCATTTCTGGGTTTAAAGTTCCTGCTTTTTCACAGGAAAGGTGGGATCTAAGCCCCCAGGACAGCATACCACAGGTCCCCATGCTGCTGATCACAACAATAGTTCCTCCAGGTTTAACTTGCTAAGCGACTTGAAGTAATATGATTTCATGTTTTTACATGAATGTGTCTTAATAGTTTTGATTGTACCTTGCGACATATATAAGATTCAGTAAAGTCAGGTCATCAGCTCTGAAGATTCCCAAGACACAGCAGGGTCTTACGTCACTAAGACACATCAAGAGCATTTGATGATGTCTTCCTACTGCCCTGCCTTTCTCAGCCTGACAGAAAACTATGAAAAGTCATTTGTCATCACAGCAAGTCTTTCAAGGACACTGGGATAACATTCATCCAGGATATGAGAATCTGGCCCTCTCTCTCTGCAGCAGCATGTGAACAATATTAACCAGAGATGAGACTTTGTACAATAGGACAGTAAGGAATTGCTTTCCTTTCCAAAGTACAAACACCCACTGGAGTATTCTAGCAAGAAAGCAATAGGTATGCTTTCCAAACACTGGTTCCCATAAGGAAGGAAGACTGTTAATCTGTCAAAAACTTTTATCAGGGCATGCAGTAGCACTTGTAGGAGTAGGAAACTGTTGTCCCTTTTTAGTTCTCTAATCAAATCTGTCCTTTCCAGGACTGAGCAATGACCTTGCAGCTGATGATGGGCTGTACTGTACTAAAAAACATACTTTTCATCCCAGTTAAGTTTCTGTTCCCTTTCATCTCAATCATGAGCTCCGGAGATCCACTGCTGATTGTTAGCAGTCATCACAATACCCTTGCGCTTCTGCCAGGCTTTGTAAGAGAGCATACAGAGTCCTCACAATAGTGCTATTCTGATCCAGTCTTTTTGGTGACTTCATTTCCAAGAGGAACCAAACCATCTCACAGAAAAACAGTCTGTGATTAACTCCGGTGTGGGGGATGCCAGCCCATCAGCATGCCATCCCTGCCTTGGATAACAGCAAGAGGAATATCCTGTTATTTAGTGCAAGCAATCCTTGCTGCACAATAGACAGAATTATTCCAAATCAGAAGCATTTAAATAAAGTCATGCTCAAGCTGTGCTCTGCATGTTAACAGCAGTGACAGCTTAAAAGTTGCCTTTTTGTCTTCTTTGAATCCAAGTGAGAGAAAGATGAGATGAGACAGGAATTGAAGGCAGAACAAAAGTAGCTGCGGTCATAAGTTATACTTCACAAAAGCAATGGGAGACAAGTCCTTGGTCACATGTAATTTCTCCAGTAATTCTTCCATATATAATTGCTACAGATCTCAATCAGGCAGAAATAAAAGAAATTAAACAGAAGTTCCTAAAGCAGCATAAGAACTATGGAAATGCTGGATTTAACATCAGAAGTGAGAAACTCCTAGTAAATGGTGTGAATGTGTTACTTCACAAAAGCAATGGGAGACAAGTCCTTGGTCACATGTAATTTCTCCAGTAATTCTTCCATATATAATTGCTACAGATCTCAATCAGGCAGAAATAAAAGAAATTAAACAGAAGTTCCTAAAGCAGCATAAGAACTATGGAAATGCTGGATTTAACATCAGAAGTGAGAAACTCCTAGTAAATGGTGTGAATGTGTTACTGAGCTGAGGGAGATTCAGTTCAGATTAGATGTTAGGAAAACTGTTTTCCCTGTTAGGGTGTTCAGGCACTGGAGTAGGTTGCTCAGGGAGGTAGTGGAGTCACCATCCCTGAAAGTGTTTAAGAGGTGTCTGAATCTGGTGCTGGAGGATCTAGTTTGGGGTTTAGGGGTTACAACAGTGACAGGTTAATGGCTGGACTCAATGATCTTAGAGGTCTCTTCCAACCTTGATGCTTCTATGATTTTATGAGTCTATGAATATCCACAGATATCTCAACAGAATTCTAGCAATTTTAGTTTAAATTTATTATATGCAGCTCTTTTAAAAAGCATTTTAATTTTTTTTGAATTAACAGCTCATCCAAAGCACAGTAGAGTCAGTGAAAAGATTCTTACTGACAAATAAGCTTTGCATTAGGAAAGCTTCCCCTTCAATTGATATGCTGCTCCACAGCAAGCTGAATAACCTGCACCTAAAACTTTCCAGTTCGAAAACAAAACCAGTAAAAATCCCTCCTATTTCAACAATGCGACAAAGATACAGCAACTGTGTTTACAACACTGAAATAGCACAATGATTAATACAAACTGAAAAGCCTGCACAAATAAACAGCTGACATGACAGCAACATCTGGTGAAAATCATGGGTGAAATTCAGCCATCCAAGCAACTCCAAATATCAAGTTAAACTACTGCTTAGTGGAACACTTTGCTCCATTGTGTCAAATTATAGTAAATAAAGACAAAGTCACAAAGCTCACAGGACTTCTTTTTGATCATTTAAGTGTGCCCTTCGTGGGAAGAATATCCTGCAAGTTTAGAATATTTAAAGAACATCTGGGGTGAGATGGGAAATGTAGCTCCAGGCTACATCTGTGCTCACTTGAAATCAGCTGCAAAGCTACACTGTGGGCAACAGTGATTACCCTAAAGTGCTGCACATGGAATTGAAGAAACAAGGTGTACTGAACCAGGACACAGGAACTGAGTGTAAGCCTTAATAGAGACAACCAGCTCCAAAATAATTCCATCCCCAACATCAAGAACATGAAGTATGGTAACAAAAAGCCAGCAAGGGTCCAGCTGAGCATAACACCACCTGGAAAGGCCAGATTCTCCTATAAAGCTCTGCTTAACACACACAGGGGATGTTTCACTCCTGAGTATTGACAAACTGATTCCAGAAACAACTGGATCTGTCTGACAACTGACTCCTTGGTTTGCTGGCTAAGGGAGAACAGAGGGAAAGGTATCCTTGTAGGCTGCCACATTTGCGAAGGATCTTTTATGGTAGTCCCAAAGGTAACCATGGCTGAAATTACCTCAGAGGTTAAAAGCATGATTCGTAGATCTAGAAGGGTGAGCTTGAGACAGCATGGGAACTGGAGCTTAAATTTCAAGGGATCAGTATGAGCTGTATCAAACTACTTTGCAGCTAAAATAAATTTCTAGCAGTCAGCTAGATTTATGTTTCAGATTACAAATCACACAATGAAGGCCTGAACAGTTCAGGCATGTGGAAAAACTCATTCACAATGCTTTGCCCTTACATACATCATATAACTTGCACACAACAGCCACACTCCTACCCTTTGATAGACTTCATTGCAGCATTACTGCGGGGCTGGAAAGACTGAAGTACCACTGAGCCCCAGCTTCAAGATTTTTCTGACTACCCCTTAAAATACACCTCAGTCCTTTGTGGGCCCTGCATGCATATTAAGAGATTTCCAGCTGCTCTCCAGCCAGTAGAATGAATAGGTAAGCACAGGAAAGGAAGAAAGTGAATACACAGCACTGCATACTGCAGTAAAAGGTGCCTTAGAGGGCTCTACCAGCACCAAAGGAGGCATAAACTGAGAGAAAGGCACCTCCTGTCACTATCAGGTGTGTGCTAACTGTACTACCTGGCAGCAGAGATTAGCTTGAGGCTTAGTGACAGTTTGGTGATACTTTCACACCCAACTATCAGCACTGGTCCCAGAAAACAAGACTAAAGTGCTCTAAAGAGAGAAACTAATATGACAAACAATCCAAAATAAATAATATTTTTTCCCCTTGTAAGAGGAGATTAAACAGACCCCACTTAACAAATGAAATAGGAGAAAATATGCTGCAGGAAAGTTAGTAATGTAATATGAAGCTGAACCGTGCCTTAAATTCATTTTAATAAAACATGGGGTGAGAAGCCACGACTGTAATCAGAAGTATATATAGGGCTAAGAACCACACAAACACGCTGAAAGCAAAATGCTCCAGCATCAAATATGAGACTGCCTGTACAGAGAGGTCAATAATCAGGCTGTGTTCACACCTCAGACACAGAGAGCTGTCCATCTGTGAACACAGGGCACTGTGGCTGCAGTTACACATGGCTTCACAGCTCCCAAGTTCACAGACATCTACAGGGGTTTTATGATACATTCTGTTAACCTGGGAAACCTGCAGCCTGCTCCACTGTGCAGTGTGGATATGGCCTGAGCAAACAAAATGTAGAACTGTTTCTGCCTCACTGATGAAGATGTGAAACAGAAACGCAATTAATCTGCCTTGGGAAATGCAAGGCAGAGTTGGGAATTTGAGGTTCCCTAAGCCCCAGTCCATGATCTAATCACTCAGCTGGCTTTGCTTTCTTCTGATTACTGAGTGAAAAGAGTCAATGTGGTGTGGTACATCAAAATAGTGCTGCTGAAAAAACACTGATTTCCAACAAGGTTTGTTATTCCCACTGTGCCAAAAGAAGGGCAAGTATTCATGGCACGGATCTGTTACCTAGAACATTTACTTTCAAATCCATTAATAAAACCAGCACACCCCAGAGTCTGGTTTCTAAGAATTATGCCCCCCCTGTAATCAGCAATCTAAACATGACCCAATCAGCACACACTCCTTCCTTTGGTTCAAGTAGATGGAACTGCTGTTTATTTTTAAACTGAAACAGTGTGACAGATCTCTACTTACAGTTCTGGATACCTGACAGTAAAGCTTCCTTTTATAGCATTAGAGCTGAGTGGATGTGAAAAATCATATATTAAGAAAACTTGATTACGAGTTTGCCTAATGTTTAAAGTACAGGACATTTCACTGACACTGGAAAGCATGACAGAAGACAAGTTACGTGGCTGGAGAAGAACAAGGTAGTGTACAACACAGCAAGGTGAAGCAGAGTGAAGTGAGAATGACAGGTTCTACAGCACAGGTCCAGTGAGAGTGGAAAGTCTCCGAATCACATACCAGGTGTCTAAACAGAATATTCAGGCTGGAAAAAACACTTAGCTCTGGTCCATTCAATAGCCAAAGCAATTGCCTACAACACTGAAAATAAGCAGACAAGTTGAAGTTTGGTGGTTTTGCAAGGTGAAGCAGAGTGAAGTGAGAATGACAGGTTCTACAGCACAGGTCCAGTGAGAGTGGAAAGTCTCCGAATCACATACCAGGTGTCTAAACAGAATATTCAGGCTGGAAAAAACACTTAGCTCTGGTCCATTCAATAGCCAAAGCAATTGCCTACAACACTGAAAATAAGCAGACAAGTTGAAGTTTGGTGGTTTTGCACCTGAAAATAAGCAGACAAGTTGAAGTTTTGTGGTTTTGAGGTCTCACGTATCTTTTCAGTTAACTGGTGTTTCAGAGCAATTTTGACTGTTGTAAAACCAAAGGCTTGGGGCAGTGAAAGCAAAGTTCATGTCCAGCTTCAAACTCCCATTTCTTTTGAACCACAAATCTGATGCAGTTATTTTGTGCTGTGCATTTCCTCTTAACTCTTCCTAACAATTGCTCTTGACACTGTCAAGAAATTGAAGGTGTTGGTGGGGAGAGACTCGATAATGGCTCCCAGGTGCACACAAAGCACAGCAGAAATCTAGGTGGGCACCCAAATCTTCCTCCTTTCAAAAACACACTTGTGAGAGACTAAATAGCAAGGCAGGCCCAGAGGCTAGGAAAACACAGCTGAGCTATGCTCTCACCCAGAAACCTCTCACAAATCCATTCCTACTCTTGCATTCATCCTGCATCTCAGAAAGTAAACTCCATTTTGGACAGCATTTCAGTGCTCTAAGTTGTCCTGTCCAGAAAAGTCCTTCTTCTTTATATTCCTAAGTCACTGAAAATTCAACACCACTCCTTCTAAGGCGTGCAAAACACCTAGCTTTAAAGCACAGCCCTGGCTGCAGTTACCTGGTCCTTGGGCTTCTCCACTGCCAGGATAAGTGGAAGGCTGATTTTCCTTGAGGAACCTGCCTGAAAAAGCAAAACCAAGGTCGGTTTGCAGTTTGCCAGGTTCCAGCAATAGCAGAGGACATGTACACAAGTCCTTGTTGCATACTCCCAAAGCTACTCTCATCACCATATCCCTGCGCTGACCTCTGCCAGGACATCCTGTCAGAACAACCTGCAAGCTCCAGGCAAGTACAGACAAATGCACTGGAAGATGCAGAGACTATTTTCATGTCTGAAAAGAAATCACTTGTCTGCAGCTGTTTCTTCTGTGCTATATTTTCATTTCAGCTGGTGTAATTTGCATTTATAGCTTCATAGTTTAATAAATTTAGTTAGAAATTTATTACCTGCTCTTGCTTCTGCTTCTAGTTAGCCTACAGAAACATGCGAGGGAGCTGCAACCATAAAAGCCTGTACATGAATCTCAAAGCCAGATCTAATTTATAAGGTTGATTCCATCTCTACAGGAAATCAAACCCAGACACTCCATAACTCTTAGTGTAGAGGCAGGTTTTGAACACTGAGAACCAGAGGCTTTAGAGAGTTTTACCTCTTCATAACAGGCTGGATGGAAAAAAGTTGTGTTCAGGAAATGCTGGTTCGTTTGTGTTCCTCTCCTGTTACACCAATTCCCAGAGCTCTCTCCCAGGATCTTGACTCACTGTTTTGGATGCTAAACACCACACTAAATATTACATCTTTCTCTTCCAAAACAATTAAGGTTTATGATTGCCTTGCTGATAAGGAACAGCAGGAGACACCTCTGCTGACAAAATCAACCTTTCAACCACAATTATTCATATCTAATTACACTGTCAAATGAGGCCAAAATAAATAGGGCTCTTCTGTGGTGGGTATAATCAAGTCAGGGGAAAGTGTAAGCTTCTTTGTAATCCCAACCATGTAAAAACACTCATTTTCTTTCTCTCAAAACATGCACATACAGTCCCTGCAGGAACAGCAGGAGAGGCTTTCTTAATGACTTAAATAAAAAGGATAGTAAGAAAGATTAAAAACAGTCTGGGAAGAAATGAAAGCAAGACTAGGAATGGATTCCTATCCCAGAGTACCTTGCTAATGGAGTTTGGAGTCTGTGGTGTCTCATCCTTCAGTGCTGATGGGCTGTTTCCTTCCACATCTTTTCCTGCAACAAAAAAATGTGATTCAAAACCAGAGAAATTCTGTGCAAAACCATGGCTTGTCATGGCCTTAGAAGGGCTACTGCTAATAGTTGTCATGAGCAAGAGCAGGTACACCATGATCACAGAGAGGGATTTTGCAGAGCTTGAAATAATCTGCATCCACATGCTTGGGCTATGCAACAAGACTGCTCAAAAGTTAAGTCTCAAAACTGTGGTAAAGCAACATGGTGGTTGCAAAAATCAGCATAGGAAGGCTGGAATAAAAGAGAAATAAGGTTCCTTATGCATCCTTAATCAGCTCCCTTCTGTGTCTGCATTATGATGCAGTCTTTAATTACATTACCACAGTCTGTTCTCTTCTTACACACCCCATGCCTCATTCAGTGCAAAGAATAAATGCAATTCAGATAATAAGCAGCTATTCAATCTTCCTTGGTCAGTATCTGGCAACTGCACACAGATGTACTTGATAGCATGCTTTGTTGGACAAATAATAACCATGCTTACAAAAAGTTACAGAAGATAGAACAGCACCTAGACATAATCTGTAAAACAAAATAAAAAAACTTGCAGAAGATCAGTGTCTTCTGACCAAGTTATTTGCTAAAGTAAGAAACATTTTCAATTTACAAGGAGCATTTATGAACACATTTTCAGTCACTACTCAAATACCCTAAACTTGCATACATTACGTACTGGTATGAGTGTGTGTAGTCCTAGTCCAAGCAATAGAATGCAATGATAAATTCTGTTCTTTTTGCCAACTGTAACCACGTCCTTGCAGTAAAAGAAAGCACAGAGCTTCTATTTTTTCAAAAAAAGCATCTGACAAGACTAGATTTTTAGTGCCAAGACAGTCATTGTTAACCAATTGCAACGCAGTTTTCCTCTCAAAATTGTGGGCAATCCGAGCTTGAGAATGCAGGATGCAGTGAAGAGCCACTGAGACAGTGAAAATCATCCATTTGCAGCACACTGCAAACGTAAGAACTGTTGAAAATGTTTCTAACATTGTGTGGACCAGCCTTGGAAACACAACCAAATCCAAAACCAGCAAGGGAAAACCCTGATTCTCCTGAAGTCAGCAAAAGTTGTCACAGATGTGTCAGAAGCCATAATTTCTCCTAGATTTACCAGCTCAGCCATTGAAGAAGGCAAGGACCATTAGAAAAGCCAGCCACAGAAGCTCACTGAAAAATAAATACCGTCATGGCCATGTCCTGCACTTCCATCATGGGATGTGTGAGAGAACGAGTATGTCCCATTATGACCAGAACTACAACTGTGTTAGAGGGTTTCACCACTAAAGAGACAGGACAAAACGGTGCCCTTTACACAGGTGTTACCATATGGTTTGGTGTATCAGCTCTTAAAAGTGAGAAAAGGCTTTGTGGGACCTTCTTTGTCCCTAGAAGGTGTTCAACTTCCCACCTAGTGACTAGGGGTGGGGATGGTTCAGATGTGCAACTCACCCTGTGACCCAGTGCTGCACTGTGCCATGTGCACACAGCTATGCTGGCACAGAAAGCCTCGGAGAAGAGGGACAGCATGTGTGTTGGTCATGTGGAGAAGTAAAGCAGAGGAAGGACCTATGCAGACACGTAGGAAGGAGGTGCAACAACAGGGGACTTCTATCTTAACCTGCCACTCCTCCCCTAGAAACACTGAGCCCTAAATAATGCACTTGGAAACCTCCTGTTTGGGGGCAGGAGAAAATCCCCAAAGTTCTGCAGTGGCCAGAGATTTGACAGTCCCTTTGTGCTACCATGACAAGTGGGATGGCCATAAGCACTGCTGTGCATGGATTAGGACCTGCATCTCCATGCTTTTTCTTTCTCTGATGGCACTTTCCTCGCTATAGCCCCCACTCTCCCTGACAGAGGCAGAGGAAGCTTGAAAACACTCACAAAGCCATGTAGCTGCTGCACTTGTTTCCCATGAAGAGCATAGGAAAGTAACATATGGTCTAAAAGTTCAAGTAAAGTTAACAGGAATCAGCTGCTGCCTGTTCCAAGGGAATGGTGTCTATTAGCATAACAGAATTCACATCCATTCTGTATTATTTCTCATTTCTTAAAGAAAGCTTAGCTCCAAGCTTGTATCCACACAAAAAGCCTGGACGTGAGACATTTCTGCCTTCTCTCAGTAATGCAGTTAAAGGGATTTGCACCTGAACAATGAGATTTTTGCTGTTCTGAGGTTCTGGTCCATCCTGCTCACAGAGCAGTATGATAAAAAGGGAACATGCAACTGGTCATTCCTCATTCTCACTATCATTTACAACCATTCATAAGGTATTTTCATGGAGCAGCATATACGAGTTTTTCACACCAAACTCACTAAGTCTATTGGCACTTGAGAGGGAAAGGCTGTTTTTCAGAGGAGAGCTATTCTGGCTGTCAGTCTCAAGCAGACTTGCTGCAGTCATGCAGAAGGAGACAGCAAACCCTTGTTTGGAAAGCAAACATCACTGAAATGATGCAGAAGTTTTTCAAAAACCCACACACATAGTTAAGTGCAGAAAAACCCCAAATGCAAGAGTCCCACCCAGAGCACGACAGACAGAGCCATCTCAAGAAAACAACTAGAAAACCACATAAAAACATAAAAGAAGCTAAATACTAGCTGGCTATAGAAGCTGAAGTTCTTATCTCCCTGACCAAGAAAACAGTGCTCACAACAGAAATAAAGCTGAATTTCTCACAACTTAAAGTGCTGGCTGCTACCAAAGCACACAGAGAAGTGTCCTCCACAGAATAGCCCAAAAGTTTTGCACCAAGTAACAATAAAGATCTTGGGAAGGGAATTGGTGCTGCTTATGGAAACAGCCTTCACCACATTGTGAAGAAAAATGCCAACACTCCAGTCTTGTGGCTACAGAGTAGAATTACTAATACCTTCTTTTTATGCATTACTGTCACGCACAGGGAAAATAAATATTTGGTTCATTTCCAGAACAGTAAGCATTTCTTTTTTTTCATTTTCTGCTGGGCATTAATCCTACAGGTGTGTTTGCCCTCCCCCTCTATAAAGAATGAAACAGCAAGCATGACTGATCAATGGTGACAGGTAGCAAAATTACTGGTTTGTTGAGGAATTATTAGCTCCACACAGCCTGAACTATTATTTTATAGGCTTTCTGATAAAGTAGCTGGATAACTACAAGAGGAAATACAAGATCTGATGTGTGACAAAACTATTGTGAATAAAAGCTTTTCTGCTGTAAATACCAGCCACATAGCCCAGTGTGAACACCCTGACTGAAATTTAGTCCAGTAAAATTCTCATGTTCATCTATTCATTCCTATATTCACAGTACATTTCTCAGGATGCAGATAAGCTAATCCAAATTTTTATTTAAAGACACTGTGATCTTGCAGCTTAGTCAAAAAGAGAGATGCTCTAAAATTCTTTATGCTACTCCCCCAATAAATTTCCTATACTCTGAAATAGAAAATAGAGGGAGGTTCTCTCCCCTCACGGCTAAGTGAAAGATAGACATGGACAAGGAACAAGAATTCATGTCTACCTTGTGAGCTTCATATAAAAAGAAAATGTCTTAGGCAATTTTCTTTCAGTTAGGGGAATCATTAGCACTGTTGCATGCAAGCAAGAGGCAGAAAGTCCGAAGCACTGTTTCAGACAGTGCCCTCTGCATGTCCCATATGTTTCCTTAAAAAAAATCCTCTCACTGAACTGGAGCTCCATAGCATATCTTGCCTGAGGTGTGAAGTCTGTCACTCCCTTCTCACTGAACTATTTAGTTGCACGTCTTTGTTGTTGGAGGGCCAATCCTAGGTGATGGTGCTGTGCGATCTGCAGCTCCAGCCACCTCACATCTCACTAAATTCCTGGCAGGAAATCGCTGGGCTTTGCTGCCCACTGCACTCAACATGATCAGCCCAGTGCTCTCATAAAGAAAATCTGCTGGGGTCAAGCAGCAAAACGCAGACCACTGGAAAAGCCTCAAGAACTGAAAGGTCATGTAAAATGACAGAGAAAAATAGATAACAGAGAAATATTGGATGCAGCTTACGGACATAGACCTGTGACTTACGTCACAGCATCCTTCAGAGGGATGGGAGAAGATGGGGGAAGCACACAAGGCTCAGAGAAAATAAGGCAGAAGCAGCAGCAAAGGCATGAAAGGAGAGACTGCCATGGGAAATGGCAACTGAACATGAAGAATGACAGGTACTTCTTACAGGAAATATGAGGAAAACAAAGAGACAAGGCAGCTCCATGGGGATGGGGAAATAAATGAAAGGAGTAAAAGAAGTGTAAGGATAGACAAAACCCCAGACCCTCTGCCAGAAATCCCCTGACTGAAACAGTAACTTCTGTTTGTTTAAAAGGGATATTCTCTCCTTTACAAAATCTTTGGCCTATGCTCTTCCTTTGCAATACTGAGGGCTATCGCCCTGACACTAGTGCTGGAGGTTACTTGGGAGAACTAAGCAGCAGAACAGAAGCTCCAGCATGGCTCAAGGCACTTGTGCTGCTGAGTCCAGCAAAGGCTGTTTGGTCTGGCTGCCAGCGAATCAAGGAGAAACACGGGCATGGGGGAAGCTGAGGAAGAGACAAACTCTTCCAGCCACATCCTCCACAATGAAACCCTCAACTTTCCCTGGTTTCTAAAAGATTACAGCACTGAAATATTGCTGAGAGTAAGTAAGTAAGCTTTTTGGCATTGAAAGTGCTGCTAAGAACTGAAGAATGGGCAAACTCTAAGCTAAGGTTCTCCATTTCCTTGAAGAAAGGGCAAGTGACTACAGCCTGGAAAATCAGCCCTTCAGCTCCCAAGGATAGCAGAAATAAGCTATTTACTTACCACACTTTTGTACAGACTGTACTTATGGGCAGCTACTGCTAGTTCAGAAGTCCCTCCAGGTTTGAAATGTATGAGATTCTAGGAGTCCCATTTTTTATTACCAAAAGGTTGTTGAAGTTTCCAGTGGTCTCAGTGACAGACAGGATTAATCAGCAGTGCTGAGAAGAGGCTTCCCACTGCTCTGCAGCAGACACTCACAAACAGAAATACCTGTGAAATCGAGGCCCTTGAAACCTTTGCACTGAAAGACAATTAGCTCAGGAAACCAAGACCTGGTTTTGCTCTACATTTGAAAAGCCCAGAGAGTCTATTGGGTGTTACATCTGTATGACCACTGAAACCTTTTAACAGATGCTATGTTCTTTCTCTAGATATCAGTGTTTTGAGATGCCATGAAGGTGCTGTGAGGTTTGACTATTTAGCACAGACACAGCAGCTGCAGATGACAGCTCTACAAACTTGTTACTGCCCCCTGAAACACTTGTTTACAGACTGGAACAGAAGCACTGTCTGTAGACTGCAATCAAGGACTTGAATGTTTACTGTGAGCAATTCTGAAACAATAAAATGAGCTCTTTTTCCTTCAAAAAGTGTGCTAGGAAATTCAAAGCCAAAAAAAAAAAAAGATGTAAAGAGAATGCTTAAAGCCAGTCTGCTATTCATTGTAACCTGTCAAGATTCCTGGTACTTGCAGTGCTTGTACATATTTACAGAACATTAACCACAGAAAGTCTGCTCTTGTAATATTTATCCTAGACTCTAAATCTGAACAGGGAAACCTGCCATTAAATGTCTGCAAATGGGCCCGGTAAATCTTCAACAAGTTCAATGTTTAGGGTGAAACACATCAAGGGCCTCAAAGTGGAAGCACCTGAAAACATTAGTAACTTTTTAAAGGTAAGGCCATGCAGTGTTCAGACAATTCCAAGCCCCAACTGTGATGCCCTCCATTCCCACTTAATGCCATGGCAATAGAGAAACAACATCATCATAAAAGCAGCACTGTCTGGAGTCCAGTAATACCTGTGTTGCAACAGCTTCTCTCACCCTCTTTCACATTCTTGTTTTCCTTTGTTTCCTGGCAGCATGCTAAAATATCTACTGGCAGCCAAGCACCTGAGACATGCTCCTTCCTGCACTGACACACCAGAAACCAACCTGGGCTGAGTGGGTAGATGTCATTGTCGGTCCCGAAGAACAGATTGCGCGTCAGCTTGCGAGGATCGACCTTCTGAGGAGTGGATGAGGCCGGACAGAGGGAGAACCTGCGACGAAGAAAGTTCTCCTCCTTCATGGCATGAGCTGTGGGGGTTTTCTGAAAAGGAAAAATAGAAATTACAGTTCATTTCAAGACACAGGAAATCGAAGTTTCACACCTAGATGACTCCGCTGCTTCAAAGCCACTTAATCCTATGTGGTGTGCCAGATCTTTTTATAGAGTGCCAGAAGGCTATGCAGGGAAAAAAAAAAGAAAGTGATATTAGTTTGAAGCTACAATTACTGATTTGCTGACTCTCAGTATTTGCAAGCTGTAGGGAAGCAGAACACTGCTCCTTGATGAATCCAGACAGTATAACATTCTCCTACCTACAAGGATCTATCTAGGATAATAGCTACTTACCGGGTCTATCCAGTGCACAGTGCACAATATTTTTGAGTCTCTTTAATAGATGCAACTCCACTGGGGTCAGCAGAGCTACAAAAATCAGCATTTAATCTGAGCTGCATGGAGGAAGACCAGCTGCACTGGCTGCAGGGAGCAGCAAGCAGAGATCACGCTGGTGTCACTCCCTCATTCCCAATTACAGCACATATTTCGGTTTTCTTTAAAATGGCATTTAGCTCAGCCTTGCAGTTTGATCAGTAAGATAACCATTGCTGCTCTGTGGGGGTAAAGAACAGCATTTGTCTCCCCAAAAGCCTCCCTGCATTCCCTGCACATGAGCCTGGTGGTACTTTGCTCTTTACCACCACTTGGCTAATGCATTAGACCATCCTGGCTGGAATTAAAGGTTTCTTTTATACCCATCCAACAAGCAGTTCTTTCTTACCCTTTACAAACAGATACTATGATAGTCTCCTCCCTGAGCTACAAGCTTTATTCTCTCCCCATGTGCAGCCACAGGCAGGGCTCTCGACAGCAGAGAGAAGTGTTAACCCAGCCTCTGGGTAGGCTTCACACACCACAACGGTTGCTGCTTCTCTGGGGTTCAGTCACTGAGGAAGGAAAAACCTCAAGGATAGTACACAGTTCCTGAAAAGAATCTCCAAGTTTTCTCATCTCTTTTAGGCTACTGGGAAAGCAAAGAAGAAGAAAATGCCCAGCCACAGTGTAGTTCAGGAGGGCAGGACCAACATGCAAATAAGGTGACCTCTGTGTGGCACAGGTGGGAAATGGGCTGATTACAGACTAGAGTATCTTGCCCTGCCCTTCCTGCTCCCAGGACCACCCCACTGCTTGTGCTGGCCCAAATGCCTCAACTTCATAGGGAACCCTCAGTGGCCTCTTGGAGCGCAGACCTTCACAGCCCAGACACCACATAAGGGGAGGCCACGAACGTGTCCCAGTGTGAGAAACTCCCCTTCTGTGTTTCATCTGAGCTCTGTCCCTCCACATGCCCTGCCAATCCCTGTAGACAGCAGGCCCAGTGTTTCAGGTTTAGCCATTTCACAGCAGGCTGCATCAACTTTTAAACTAGCTGTTACATATGAGGCAAGAGAGCATCTGCTCCTTCTTTCCTGCAAGAGAAGTCCTAAGTGTCCAAGAGCTTAATTTGATCTAAACCAGTCTGGACTCCAGCAGTGAGCATGGGTTACCAAAACCACTTTGAGCATCTGAACGCAGCACCCCATGGGATGGGTGAGCCATCAGATGTGAGGACCTGTTACATCCAACAACAAGCTAATGGCTTGTTGTAAAAATGGGACTCCTCCAGGCTACACATCTGCAATTTAAAGGGGACATATGTCCCTTGCTGCATACACATCATCCGTGGAGGATGAATTAAGGTCTGTGCAATGATCTCTGAGGACAACACATTCCCCAAGAGCTCTATGTGTTATCATGTCCCCCACTGAGAAGCCGCTGTAAGACAGTACAGATTCAACAGCAGCATTTCATAACCCCTTCCCACAACTCCTGGTGAAAGGCTTTGTATTTGAGCACCAGGACATGGCACACTGGACGGGGCTGCCATGGAGTGCTTCCACCAGCCAGAGCCTCACACGAGGCCGATGAGATGTGATGACAGCGGGGTGAAATGAGGTGCCTGTAGCTTTCCACTCACTGCTGCCCTGCCTTCTGTCAACTCAACTGCCCAGAAAACCACCCTGCAAACATATATCCAGGCTCAAAACATCCCCAGGTTCCCACTGTGGCCAACGGCATTTGCGAGGCAGCAGTTAACATAGCTCATCTAGCAATGTAAATAGACCTTTATTTGCTTAGAAACTCCTGATTGCATACAGCTGGGTGGAGAGAAGATGCAACATTAAAACTAACTTTAAAAAAAGAGAGCAACGAGGAAAATGCAACTAGTTACATGTCTGAAAGGAAAATATTTAAAAATAATCCAGGTCTAAATAGCAGGGTTTGGAATGCTAACAGTGAGCTATTTTTTTCCCCAGAAAGGCAGTTTCAACTCTCTACCTCTATAACTGCTTCTAAGTGGCTCAGAGCAAAAGCAGATGAGTGGGTTGCTCTCCCCAAAAAAGCAGCGACCTGGCAAGGCTGCACTGATCGTGCAGGAAGGAGTTCAGAAACCCCAGGCCCATCTAGTGGACAGCAGGCTGAGGAACAGGTTACAAACATAAAGCATCCATCCATCCATCCATCAGCTTACTCCCTGTCAGGGTAACAGAAAGGTTGCATCCATCATCATTTTGTCTCAGCAATACCACAAGCTGTGTCAGTGGAGAACTGCCAGCCAGCTCACACTGATGTTGGTGGCAAAACCCCTCCAGACACCAGAGCAAGAGCAGGCTGTGTACTGGGTCAGACATACCAGGACACAGTTTCTTTCAACTGTTGCTATATTTACTGTGCAGAAAGACCAATGCTTTAATGTTTCCCTCGCTTATTATTTCACACTATTTAACCATGGGATAATTGTTAGAATTACTGTGCTGATGCTCTCTCATTGCCACAGTTATTTAAGCTATGGGCTTGAACGGCAAGAAATCTGGATACCTTGTACAACTGGCAACAGCCACGGGAGAGCAACAAAGGAAAAAGACTGCTCAGGTCTGTAATTTGCTGTCTCTTCTCTTACATAACTTAATACAAACTTCTGTCTGCAGCTCATCTCTTTTTGACCACATCGGTTTGAGTAAGTTCCTCTTAAATGGGTGCATTCTGGCAGAAGACCCCCAGTGACTGAAGCTGCCTGAGAAGCAGCAGTGGTGATGTGTCTGTCAGTCACACACACAGCCATGCAACACACCGTGTCACCAATATCCCAGCCTGTTTTTCAAAGATATCTAGCACTGCATTGCTCCAGCTCATGGGCACTGATCCTTCCTACATGTGACCCTCATCCAGACAGGTTCTTATGCCATCCACATTTTTGTGGGCTTCACCAACTAGAACCTGACAGCAGCAGAGCCTTTTGTTCAGTGAGCTATACCGTGTTCTCACAGTTCAACTTACTTTTCCTACATTTTGGGTGAAAGAGAAGAATTGTTAGCCTGAAGTTCATTCTCTAAGATTGCATCATCTTATATTACCATGACAATCTTTTCAGAGAAAGGCTGAGATGGACAGACTCAGCCTACAAGATTTTATCTGATTATGCAGTGCAAAGTGTAGCACAAAATCATAGAAACAGACTTTATTTTTGCATTTTGGGTTTTTTTAATACATAAGACACTTTTTTTCCTCGTTGGGAGAAAATGTTCACACTATTCAGATTCAATAATACATCTGAAATATTTGGTTTGTTTCCAAAAGACATCTCTGTGTGTGTCTGCATCTGTACCTACCCTGTTTTATCCTCCCTCTCAATGCCTTTTGTACTGTTTGAAAAAGTCAAGGAAACCTAACAGCCATTAGAAACCTGAAAATATTAGCCTCTTAAAAGTTATATGAAGATCAATGGCTAAAGAAAGGAGAGAAATTGTATTGTTGTCCTCTGACAGAAGAGCAGCACTATGAACCCAGCTATTACCAAACATCAGCCAATCCAAGATAAGCCATAAATCCATAAGAAATTGAGGCTTCATTAGCTCACTTCCTCAGAGAGCTAGTTGTTATATCTGACTGCCCAAACTGGCTTCAAATAACAAAACCTGTGAGAGTTGTAGGGGATGATGAACAGTAGACACCAGGAGCAAAGAGATGTCACAGGAAGGTGGGAGGTGTGTTCAATGATTTTCACAACAAAGCCGTTTAGACACCTAAAAAATCCAGCCTCTGCCCAGAATCACCTGTGTGACACAGGTGGGTGTGAAGGGCTGCAAGAATACAGCCTTGTGCTAAATCTACTTTTATACCATTAACATGTGATTATCTAGAAAAAACACAAAAATTCAGTGGTGACAAAGTACCTGATAAGAAATAAGAGACTATAGAAGATAGGCTCCTAGACAGGAGTGATTTTGATCCTCAGATCTTTCATAGCTGATTTGAAGACAACACTGTTGTTCTGAGACCCAAATCTACTTCTAAACTAGTATTTTGGAGGTTGTTTCAGGACATGGCAGATGCTTCACAGAAACAAGTTCTGCATGGGCTCAAGGAATAGAGAGAAGGTAAAAATCAAAACTGGGCCAGAACTGCAGAAGGCAAAAAATTGGCATTCTGTCACCAAACCACATACATAACACAAGGCAAGAAATTTCACCCACTGCTCCTGCATTCCCTCCAAATCCCACAAATAAGATGGAGAATTGTCCTAGAAAGACAACATGTCTTGATTTGAAGATGCCAACTGATGCAGAATCTGTCTTAGGAAACCACCCTCATCATGTAAAACCTTCACTCCAGCTCTTGCATGAATGTACCTGGTTGTTAGTCTTGGTAGGTTAAGGTGCCCTGAAGTTTGCATCTCAGGTCATTTCTGGCCTTCTATTCTGTGCTCTTGATCATAAAAATAAAGAAATGTAATACAGAGAGAATTGACAGAGCCACTAAACGCAGAGCTTTTCAGGATTGTCTCTTTTGTGTTGACAGCTCTCTATGCCGTAATGGGCTATTAAATGTGGGCTGTTCATCAGAGCTTAAAAAGGAATAAATAATTCAGCAGCAAGAAATAAACTTCTTACTAACCCTGTCTTTGAGATCACTTTATCTTTGAAAAACCAAAAATACAGCAC